TATAAAGAGTGACTGGCACAATTAGTTTTGAGGTAAACTGTTGAAATTTGGTAAAATTTGTGGTTAAAAAGCTGCTGATCGGTAGAGACAACAGTTCCTAATTGGACCTCTGTGTAAGAAGGGGGTTTTTTTTCTTAAAAGGGAATTTCTGTTCATTCAGTACTTCTAGTAGGTTAATTAATTTCCCATATATAATGTATTTTCCCTGTAAAATAGACATTATTTGTGCAGCCTTCTTTTTTTGAGAAATGAGGATCCAGTTGGTTTTATCCCTCATTTATATGTCTAAAGTCCAGTTAAAAGCAATAACACAAAAAATCAGACAGCATGGAAAATGGGTATATGTGTATATTACTGCATTTATAAACAGATGTTTGCATCAGACAGAAAGATATTTACATAAACTGTGTGAATGTTTTGTTAATTACAGCTGTTAGCATCCTGTCTGAGAGTGACACCAAACCGTTCAGGGTCTAACATGGACATAGTGCAGCATGAAAAGAAAGAAGAGCAACCTCTATAGTGAGATATAATAGATACTCTTGTAGACATGAATTTGCCCAAAGTCTGTCAATGAAATTATTAAAAAGATTAAACAAGGTCTCATTTTTCATCAACATGGACAAATCCTATCTCAATCTGGGGCCATCACAAGGAATCAAACTCAAGCAAGCGAGAAGCTTTTCCGAAAGTGCACAGCGTACAAGAAAAAAGAATGGATAGCGAAAAAATGTCAGTACTCCAAAGGGTCTCTCTTAGTGAAAATCCTAGAACAGAGGTGGGCAATTTGCTATAGAAATAATTAAAGTGAAAACTTCGTTTACATTTTTGTATCTCCTTCCAGAGAATTACTTTGAAGAGGTCTTCAATCTGTTTTACTCCTGTAATATAGCTACCTATTATTATCACTGCCCTCCGCCCCCCCCCAAAAAAAACCCAGCCAAAAAACCCCACACCAAAATTTTGCACACTTCAGTCATACAGGAGGTCAAAACGCAGCGAAAAACCCAACTCCTTCACTATTTATTTGTGAAGTGGCCTGGTGGCAGATGAGGTGAGAACCGTGGAATTGTCACCATGCCGTGTGGAGGAGGACGGTCTGGTTGCGTTAGTGGGGCAGGGAGTCCAGGGGGGTAGAACGGTGGGTTAAAACCACAAGTGAGTTTATGCACTGACAGCAAGTAATTGAAGTACACAGATCATGCTAATGAGTTATTTCATCTACAAGCTGCATAGTCTTTGATGAGGGGCTTGTTACATATTGCAAATCATCTGAAATTTAAAGTGTAGCAAAATTGCTTCATTTTTCCTGTCCCCTTTCACCGAACCCTCTAGCAAAGCCCCACAGGGCCACCACACTGAACTACATCTTGAGGGGTTAGATTATGTGTCCTCATTAAAAATACTGCAAAGTGCTGCTGTTAACCGTAGTGGTAATATTGTGACTTCGCAGTTTTAGTGTTATATTGATCAATTTCCATTTCAAACATGATAAAGCTGATGTGGCCTGTGGTCCCCAAAGATGTTTGGAAAAGAAACTTTTTTTTAAAAAAAGTAGAGCATCTAATTGTAAGTGATGGTGCGTGTCAGCCCCTGTCCCAGGAGGGCTTAAAGCTGCAGCTCCAGAAGAAATGAGAATTCCCTGCGTGACCCTGATGGCTTCTGTTCCATGAAATCTTTTTCTTTATGGTATTGAAGTTAAAAGTGACATACACCTTTTCCAGTTGGATGTTGGGAGCGTGTGTGCTAATGCTAGGTCATGCTGAATAGAAGTAAAGCTTTCCGGGTTAACATTTGCAGATTTTACAAAATTAAACCCTGAAAAGAATATTTTAAATAGCAAATGACATTGCAGCTGATTTGATAAATCCTGATGTCTAAGCTGCAGCGTTGTGGTTTTCACCTCCACCTCTATGGTTGATCACCAGTGCTGTCTTCGAATTAGATCTGGCAGCAGCGGTGATGGAGCTCCCTGCATGGACGGGGTTCCGGGTAGCCAGCAGCATCCGAGGGTTTTGGTGCGTAGCTGTCTGCGAGAAGGGCCACAGCCAGCAGTGTTAAAATCGCAGGTCTCTGCCCCTGCTCTAGCTTAGTGCTCGCCCCACTGCTGTCACCCGTGGGGTACAGGGAGAGCTGTTTGCCAAAAAGTAACAACAGAGAAAAGAGTGGAGGACTTCTGTATGGCCCTTTTTTTCCCCTAATGTTTCACTATTTGGCTAACAGCAAGATGAGTCTGTCTGCAATTGCAACACTGGTAAGGTATTTTACTCCACTCTGATAATAGTGCTATTTTGAGCCACTGATAAACACGAAGTTACAGGACCCACATCTCTCTACCATTCCAGCTTTTACTTCTGCTGTCAGAAAGATTGCTGAGTAACTTTGATGCCTTCTGTATAAAATGAAACTTGTATAGGTCTTAGCAGGAGAAAGGCAGTCTTCTCCAGAAGTGGCTACAGCTGAAATATTTCAGTAGATGGGATGAATGCACTCTTCTGGTCAACACAAATAGCATTAGGTGTAAACTCCTTGCAGAATTCTTGACGTTAGTATAGGTTCACCAAATAGAGGCCAAATTGAACTCTTTTAGCTTAGATGATTTCACTTATGTTGTGCACTGTGGCATTTAAGACTTGACAGCATGAAGTTCCAATATAAACTCTAAGCAGTAAGACTGTCCTGCGTGATTCAAATCAGAGACTTAGCACTGGAAGGATTGAAGAACACATCCCTTGCTGAACTTTTTTTCCTTCTTTCTTGCTCTTGCAAAAAAATTCCTGTGCACGGGTAATGGATGCTGTGTGGAGAGAGACTTTTGTGTAGCGTAGATAAAAATGTCTTTTTAAAAAGTTTATATTGAAGATTGTAAACATGAATCAATACAAATGGAATTACCTGCAAAATACAGAAATACAGAAAACATCTTGTTACATAGGAAGAAATTTCTGTTCATTCAGACCAGGTGATGGTCTGTCAGATAGCGAGTTATTGTTGGATGACAATAACTCCTGTACCAACTGTATGGGGTTTTTGTGCATAAAATGATCTTCCATTATTTCATTGTCAGATTTTGATTTTGTTGTTGCACCTTTCCACCACTTTGAACAAGAGAAATTGTTGTTTTGGCTTATAGGAACTCTGCCACCTCTGTCACCAGAAGAGGAGAACTGAATAAGAGCAGCAACAGGAAAAATCAGTTTGTACACGCCGTTCCCTGGCTTTCACGGCTCTGCTAAGGGACAGTTGTACGAAGCGGTGATAGACTTCCACTGTCCCTTTCTAAGCGAGAGACTGAGCGAGTCTCCTCTTTGCTGTGGGGTTAACCATGCTGGAAAACTGGATTTCTTTTTAGTTGCTGAAAGATGCAAAGCTCTTACTGGTTTGTGGCAGGGTAAATTAATTTATGATGGTGATTTGTTAGTCTGGTTACTTGTGCAGACAGATTTTTACAAGGTTACCTTGTGCTGGTTGAATTCAAACTTTAATGTGTTGAAATGGAAGACTTATTTTATACTCCAAAGTCTCTTTCAAGATAAGTTGTCATCAGTGAATAAAGCTGAAGTTTGATGTGTCTGGGAAAAGACTGCTCTCACACAGGAAGCTTTTGAAACTGTGCTACATATCACAGTTAGAGAGACCTGAATTTCCTAGCAAAGCTTGTCATACATTTACCAGAAATCAAGTTGTGAAGGACAATTGTAAGGGAACTGACACTACAGTACATATTTTAGAATATTGGACTAATACTGTGCCAGGCCAAATAAATATCAATACAGTAAATAGGAAAAGGAAATACTCATGCTGATGGAATGAAATATTGATTTAAGACAGGGTCAAAAATTCACTGTGTGCTACAAATAAAAAAAAAAGTTTTTAGCTGTGACTATGCACTTGTGTTTGTTTATTTTTTTAGAGATTTTTGAGATTCCTAAAAGCAGTAGTATTGCAACATATGTAGGACTGCAGTCCTATTTTATTTGCTAATAAATGACTAAAAGGAAAATAGATACTCTCTAAATTATGTGATTTGGCATGAGGATAGACAAACATTGACTGGAAAAAATACTCTGTTTCTGATGGAAGGATACTTACAGTATATTTATAGTCCTCTTTTGAAAAGCTAAGCAGAATTTCAGTTCCATATATTATTTCAGTTGGAGGCAAGTAACCTGTGTAAGTTATCGGTAATTCATTGACTTTGGGCTAAGGGTAACTCCCATCGCTAAGGATCTGCCTTTGTTTTTATTGGCTTTTAGTGATCAGACTGGGTAAGGACTAAGCATCTTTAGAAGCTGAAGAATGAATTTGTACAGCTTGTGTGAAAGGTGTTAAGACAAACTCATCAATTAAAAAGAAAAAAAAAAATTTTTTTTATCAGTCTCAATGGGCTAAATGTATCTTCATCAGCACAATTTCCATCTGCTGCTGTTTTACAAATGTGACTGTATTTGTATACCTTCAGGCAAACCAAGCAAAGCATTGTTATGTGGAGCAATAAATTCAAGTTTTGAACTCTCTGGCATGCTATTGTGGTCTAAAGGATAGTACCTGGAGCAGTGAAATGGCTTTGATTGTAAAATTGATTATGTACAGAGGCTTGGGAAAATTACAGAGTGGCCTTTGCTGTCACTGGATGGACTGGGTATGGCATAGTTGCTTTTGGTGAGAATGAAACTAAAGAGCATGATGCTCTGAAAGCTTTGCTGAGTATGCACTTGGTGAGTCTGCGCGCTAGAGGTTTGAGGCTGGAGAAGAGAGGTAGTCAAGCACAAGTGGGTGCAGGAGCTACAGACCCACCAAAGGCTTTGGCTGGGCTGCACTGGTGCTACGGAAGGGGAGCTCTTGCAATTGAACGGCTGGGCAATCGCGTTGTCCTTGGGTCCAGGTGGACCTGCGTTCTGCTTTGTCTCCTTTTGTATTGGTTTAATAACCAGCTGCATTGTTAATGTGCAAGGACTGGTTGTTTTTTATAAGACACTTTTTTGTTTCTTTTAAACTAGAAAGATGAAAACTACAGAAGCCTACCACGAGATACTAGTAGCTGGTCTAACCAGTTTCAGAGAGACAATGCTCGGTCATCGTTAAGTGCCAGTCATCCCATGGTGGACAAGTGGCTGGAGAGGCAAGAACAGGTAATATATATGCATATATATATATTACTTTATCAATCTAATCTTTACGCTACTCCAAGCTATTATGAAGAAGTGTATTCTTATGTGATATTGGCTCTCTAAGCATGATATAAGCACCAGCAGTACGCTGACTAAGTTTGTGTAGGACTCCTTCTGCTTCCGAAAACACAGCTTTAAAACTGAAATAGACAGCTGCAAATTATTTCATTTTGAGTCATAAACACATTTATATAGTACGTGGAGTGCTGCTGTTCTTCACAACTGATACCAACATGGTTATTTTAATTAAACTATTATTTTGATAAACACTTTGCTGTTGAAACCTAACAATATTACTACAGAATAGCCAAATGTGGGTCAGTTTTGGCATTGCACTTTTAAATGCTTGTTGCTCTTAACATTGTAAAATATATTAATTATAAATTTGAAGACAGTGTTTTATTTATTTAGTGTACATTTATACTGCTTTTGATCATGTTTTCTTTTGAGACACAAAGTAATTCCAACTTGGGGTTTTTTTATGAATAAGATGGTAGCCATAGAGATTTAAAGGTCTAAAGTTAAAATTGCCTAGTAGTCACTTTATGTATTTGTATGTGTCTGAAATTTTCCAGGAAGCGTCTTCAAATGTGTCATGAAAATGCATCCTTACTATGGAGACTGGAAATAGAACAGGAAGCTTATATATAGGACAGTGCATATGTAGGATTATTAACTCATTTTTCCTCTTTAGACAACATGACAGGAAAACATTGAGTTGTTGCATTGAACAGAAATGTGCAGATTTTGTATTTTACAGCAATAGGGCATAAAAACAGAAGTTGCTTTATACAGAGGAGCTTCGAAATGAAGTCTGCTGTTTGACAGCCCAGGCTTCTTAGACTGCACCTTGTGAACAGAGGGGAAGGTTTAGAGCCCACCACTGGGCTGGTGTCCTGGGACTGGTCTCCTTCACCCACAAATACCATACCGATATTTGAAGTCCAGCATTGTCAAATCCTAGGATACTCCAAACATACTTTATTCAACCCTATTCTTAGTTAAAAAGGAGCTAAAGTAATATCACAGAGTATGAAACCCTAAAAACAACCCAAATGTGAGCTGTTGACAATTTTTGTATTTTTGTAGTTAGCTGCAGATTCATTTAAAATTATATGTCTAATGAAAAACCTCTCTTTTTGGTCCTTATATATTTTCCTCTGAACATTTAATGATAGTGGTAGTTCCATTACTATTTTCCTCTCAAAAGATGTAGGGTTAGTGCGCGTGAGTTTACTGCTGTCTCTGCATCTGCCTGTGTTGAAATGGAAAGTTGGTGCCCAGATTCGAAGGCATCTCCTGTGACGGTTCTGCTTGTTTGATGTTTTTGAGGCACATTTCCCTGCATCATTAGATTTTCACCGTGGCAGTTAATGAAACTGTTGTCTCAGCAAAAGAGGTTGGACTAGGAATCTTAATAGTGATCATCTTATAAAATGTTTGGTACGTGAATATTTTAATATATGATGTTTTATATTAAGTTTTGTGCTGATTTTGGTCTCTGAACAGCTTAACTAGTTCAATTTATTCACCAATTAGGTAAATAATTGGGCACTAATGGTAGTCTGGAAGTGTATTTGTTACCTGATTTAACTGGTTGAAGTCTCAAATTGCAAACGCCATGTTTCTTCTGAGAAAGTTTTCTGCTTTTTGTTTTTGTTTGTTTGTGGTAGTGTTTTTTTTTTTTTGAGAGAGAGCGGGTTCATTTCTTAATGTGTTAATAAATCTGTATGTACCTGGAAGTCCAGGGTCCTTTTGCAATTTCATATCAGCAGGATAATTAATTAGACTGAAATCTGTTTAACAGGATATGCACAGAAGAAAGCCCACAGTGAGGGTGGGATGCAGCAGAGCTCTGCAGAGAGAGGGAGGGAAGGGCCTGGCAGGGGATGGAGTAGCTGCAGACAGAGATACTCTTCCACTCTCTTTTCTGGGTTTTAAACTCTTTCAGTGTTCTCTGTGGGCTTTTTGTTTCTCACCAGTTAAGCCTTTCACTTCTGTGAAGAAGACACTGAAGTGGTGAGGTTGCTATCTGGCATAATGAATTAATTTAGCAACTTCCAGTCCTGTCACTGCATGCTTGACAGAGCTGCGGAGGGGCTGGAGTGGGCTGCGCTCCCTGCCCGTAGGTGCAGAAGGAATAGCAGGCAGCAGGTCTGGCACCGAGGGCAAGGCAGGGGCAGTGCCAAGAAACCTCCAGGGCAGAACTTGTTACAGATACCAGGGTAACAACAGCCCTGGTCTGACCTGCCTTGATGGCTCTTCAGGGGAGATAGGAGTGAACACTCCATTCATCTCTCAGACTCCAGAGGCTTGTTGTTGGATGAAGACTCTTTTGGCTTGGATGGAGTTACTTCTCTCGAAGCTTGTCTCATTTCTTCCTTTTGAATATTAGGTGAAAAAAAAGTTCCAGGATGATCTTCGTCAGCTTGTAACATACATGAAGATTCCCTGGAGCTGTGCTTGGAGGAGTGAAGGTGTGATGTACCAAAAAAGTGAAATTATTTTTGTGTGGACACCACCTCATTTCCCATAAGCAGAACTATGGAGCAAACTAATTCTACAACATCACAGCCTGTTCTGCAGGTGAAACTGCAAGAGACCTTGTTTCCAGGAAATCATTATAAGCTGCTGTAGCAGGGACTAATAAGGGCACAGAATTAGATATGATGGAGTAGTTGTTATGGAAATAGTTCTGTAAATTTGTCTGGGTTTTAGCACCTAAAAACGGAGGAAGGCATGAAGCCTGTTAAAATTCCTGGAAGTAATTGCTTTTGCTCCTGTCTATTGTACTTTACTAGGGCTCTGCTAAATTAGAGTGATACATCAGAGAAATGGAAAAGATTAATTCTGCTTTCCAAGTCCTTTAAGGTATGCTCGTTATATGTGCCGGTTAGCTATATCTACCTAAGGATTGTTCCCTGTTAGTTCCAGAGCCCTCTGGTTGTCCACAGGGGAAATAATCTGTGTATTTCTCAGAAAGTCTGGGTATTTCTCAAGCCCATGGAGTACATTATGTGAAACTGTTTGTACCAGAGAATCATTTCTTCGCCATAAAGCCAAAAATCCAAATGCAGTTTCAGAATACAGTTAGAAAGTTAAGGATTGTATTTTTTACTCTTTCGTTCAATTATTTCATTAAGTATCTCTTACAGATTGTCAAGTACTAGGAAGAAAATTTGCAATCTTTAATTTAATTCTGAAATATCTTAACAAAAGAAAAGGTGGGTTTTGTTCTTCACCTTGCTCTCCACAGCACTTTCTTTTCCCCCACAGCAACGAGTTTGAAGAATAGTTGATAAAACTTATTTCCTCTGAAATTTATTCATATATATGGTAATGCCACTTTCTTTTGAGAAATCTTTTTTCCCTCAGTTCCCCTCAAGACTTGCTCAGGCCCTGATCAAATCTGGACTCATGCTGTTTCATACTAGGAGGACATGAAAAGGGACTGCATGAAAGAGTTAAACTTTTCACCAGTTCCTTAAGTTTAAATACACAGAAAGCTTCTCTCGAGTGGTCATTTTAGTTTCATTGGTAAAATACTAACTATAAATACACTATACATTATACTATATAATAACTATGTATTAAAACTATATGTAAATCTATATACACACATGTATTTGGGATTGGGGCTGTTCAGCCTGGAGAAGAGCAGGCTCCGGAGTGACCTTACAGCAGCCTTCCAGTACCTGAAGGGGGCCTGCAGGAAGGATGCAGAGGGACTTGTCACAAGGGTGTGTAGTGATAGGACAAGGGGGAATGGCTGTAAACTAAAAGAGGGCAGATTTAGTTTAGATATAAGGGAGAAATTCTTCACCATGAGCGTGGTGAAACACTGGCACAGGTTGCCGAGAGAAGCTATGGCTGCCCCCTCCCTGGCAGTGTTCGAGGCCAGGCTGGATGGAGCTTTCAGCAACCTGGTGTAGTACTGGAAGATGTCCTTGCTCATGGCAGGGGGTTTGGGACTAGATGATCTTTCAGGTCCCTTCCAACCCTTACCATTCTATGATTCTGTATATCTGTATTTGTCAGTGCATGAAAGCAAGGTAGGAGATGGTGTAAAATTCCATGATTATTACTGAAGAACAGGTCCGATTCCTGAAATTGCACTAGCTTTCTTGTATTTAGCAAAGCCCAGAGATTAAAGCAGCTCATATGTATTCTGAGATGGGAAGAGAAGTTGGTTACTGCTGCTGTCGTCTTGAGCCGAAATGTGCGGTACGGAACACTTCCCGAAAGTTATTCCTGTTCATGACATCTGTCTGTAGTAATCTGGGGCAGTTTCTCTGTTTCCTTTTTCAGTCAGATCAGATGTGCAAATACCATATGGTCTTATATCTCCAGCTGTAGAGTACCTGCCTTCAGCTTGTATTTTCAGCAAGAAAAGGCCTGCTTTTAATGTGATTAAATATGCTCACTTAAAACATTTGGATGCCATAAATTAGTGTGTTTCAGCACTGTCAGCTGAAAAAAAAAAAATAATCAGAGCCCCAGAGGTAAGTTGGTGAATTTAAACCACTGATTTCCTGTGGATTCTCATACTCCAGTTTAACCATGTTGTCAGTTTTTTCATTTAATAACAAAAACTCTGCTTCTATTTTATGTCTTAACAGAATAATGTAAGGCGGAAATACAGCTCATTTATTTTATTTAGTTCTGAATATTTCATAGCAGTATGACTAATATATATAAGTATTTTTATTTTCACTACTGTACTTCTTTCGTGCTTCTCCTTGTCTGACAGGTAATTTGGCTTTTGTTTCTAGGTTTTGTTATGGCTGTAACTGCAGTGGGAAGGTCTGCAACTTCTGTGTGTCATGGGCTGGAGATGGGGGGGATTGGGGAGCGGGGGCTCTTCTTATCTCAAACTCCTCACATGCAGAGGCTGAAACTGCAGTAAGAATTGTTGTCATTAGTAAGGAGTTCTGCTTTAAGATATGGAAAAAGGATTAGCT